TAACAATTTATTCCATAAAACCAAATAATCTTTTAGTTGAGTTATAACTAAATTCCTATCAATTTATTCTAATGATCTCTCAATCCCCATACAAATCCCAATGTTCAGGCTTCTTCACCTGAAATGAGATGAAATTTAAAAAACATGAGTTTAAGAACTTAGTAAGTAATATACCCATTCAGCACAACCAAGCATAAAAATTTTTAAACTAAATTTTATTGTAAAATGAAAAAAAAAAAAAAAAACACCTTTCTTTCCTCAAAACCAAAGTAACCTATTTTTCATCCTTTACAATTATGTAACAATCCACAATCCATAATCCACAATACTCAATCCTCAATTCATGATACACAATTCACAATTTATAATCCATAGATCCTTGGTCTATCACAATACAAACAACTCAACCCTCACTAGGGTTAATCATACAGCTAGAACAAAATAAAAACCATTCCAAAAAAACCATTTCACTAAAAATTAAGAAAAACAAACATGGCCACAATCTCATGTCAAACTTAAATAAAATAGCATACTTGGTTGACAAATTATCTCATTCCATGATTAAAGCATTTAGCAAAAATCATTAAAACAAAATAAATTAGAACAGGACAAAACTCATTTAAATATATCATTTTACTTTAAGAACACTAGAGAATATAGCTAATTACCTCAATAACTATCTTTCAAAATGCAATTACCACACAGCTATTCAAAACCTACATGAACATTAAGTAAACATAATTCAATCACCAAGTAAAAATTTATCCTTTACTTATCAAGCATCTACATGAAATAATTCTATAACCCATGCCACGCCATTAACATCCTCTTCCTCAAACCCAACCACCCAACACACACTTTTGGAAACTAACTACCTAAATAAATAATTCCACCTTGAAAATTCTTCACGCCACACCACCCAAATTCACAATTTTAATATCAACTCCAAAATCTATTTGTTACGGTACAATCAATCTCACCAACCATGCATCTACCCATTCTCTTCATTCCAAAATTCCTAAATATTTCACCAACCATGAATAATAAATTACCGCTAGCCATGCTTAAGAACAGCAACCCGCATTAGTGTCTTTCCTTCTCTTCTAGTGAGAATTTTTGAGACAAAGGAAGGCTTAATAAATAAATATTGAGAGAAGCTTTTAAATTCCACCCCCACAATTCTTTTAATAATCTAAATTTAAACTTAAGAAGACAAATTACCTTAGATTGACTCTAGTATGGCCAAATCCCCTGAGCAATGCTCCCTTATTGGCGAGAGGAAGAAGACATTCTAAATCCTAAAGAAAATGAAAACCGCCAGACAAATTCTGATTTGGATTTTTAACAAAAGGGGTTTTACAACCTAGTCCTTGATGTATTTCTAGTGATGTGATTGTGGTTCTTTCAAGTTTAGGCTTACGCTCTTCAATCTTTACGTGACCTAAGAGGCTAACAGCATCGATTGTCTCATATTGCCTATCAGGGACACAAAAACGTATTATTAGTAAATGTGTAACACGTAGGTTTAAGGTTAGTTACTTTACCCTTGGGCTTTATAGTATTTAAAGCTTCAAATATAGGAATTCAATGTAACCAATAGGTGTTGAGCCCTAGTTTGGAAAGTGGACAAAGAAAATTATCTCTAGGCATGTTATTCAAAACATTGACGGTCTAAACAATTTATTGGGATCGTTAGTGGTCCGAATAAGTGCCTCACATTCTAGAACATTCTCCTCTTTAAAAACTTTTTGTTCCTTATATTTAAGGACAAGACTTATTTCTAGGGATGTGATTATGGTTCTTTCAAATTAAGGCTTATGTCGTTCACTCTTTAAGTGATCTAAGAGGCTATTGGCATCGGTTGCGCATCTCATATTGCCTGCTAAAGACACAAGAACATGTTATTAGTAAATGGATAACACGTAGGTTTAAGGTTAATTACTTTACCCTAATGTTCTATGGTATTCAAAGCTTTGGTTGTTAGAATTCAAGGTAACTAATAAGCTTTGAGCCCCAGTTTGTGGGGTGGATTAAAAAAATGATCTCTAGCCGTATCATTCAAACCACTAATGGTTTGAATAACTTATTGGAACCATTAGTGGTCTGAATAAGTGCCTCCCATTCTAAAACATTCTCCTCCTTAAAAACTTTTCTTCATTACATTTAAGGATAAAACTCATATCTAGTAATGTGATTATGGTTCTTTTAAGTTTAGACTTACACCATTTACTCCTGTAGTGACCTAAGAGGCTAATGGCTTCAATTATGTGTCTCATATTGCTAACTAACATGCAAGAACATATTAATAGTAAATGGTAACATGCCAATTTAAGATTAGTAACTTTACTCTTGGGTTTTACAATATTCAAAACTTTAAGTGTTGGAGTTTAGGGTAATTAGTATGCATCAAGCCTTAGTTTGAGCAGTGGAGCAAGAAAATGATCTTTGGCTCTATTTTTCAAGCCACTAACGGTTTAGATAACTTATTGGGATTGTTAGTGGTCCGAATAAGTGCCTCCCATTCTAACTCTTCAAAAACTTTTCTTCCTTGCATTTAAGGACAATACTTATTTATGGTGATGTGATTACGATTCTTTCAAGTTTAGGCTTAAGTCGTTCACTTTTTTAGTGACTTGAGAGGCTAATAGCATAGATTGTGCATCTCATTTTACCTAACGAGGACGTAAGAACATAGTACTAATAAATGGGTAACACATAAGTTTGCGGTTAATAACTTTACCCTTGGGTTCTATGGTATTCAAAGCTTCGATTGTTGAAATTTAAGGTAACTAGTAGGCATTGAGCCCTAACTTGAGGGTGGATTAAGAAAATGATATCTAGTCTTATTATCCGGACCACTGATGGTCTGAATAACTTATTAGGACCATTAGTTGTACAAATAAGTGCCTTCCATTCTAGAACATTCACCTCATCAAAAACTTTTCTTCATTGCATTTAAGGACAAAATTGATTTCTGGTGATGTTATTACATATCTTTCAAGTTTAAGCTTACCACGTTCACTCTTTTAGTGACCTTAGAGACTAATGGCATTAATTGTTTGTCTCATATTACCTAATGACGATGCAAGAATGTATTAGTGGTAAATGGGTAACATGTAAGTTTAAGGTTAGTTACTTTACCCTTAGGTTTTATGGTATTCAAAGCTTTGGGTGTTGGAATTTTGGGTAACTAGTACACATTGAGCCACAGTTTGAGGGGTGGAGCAAAAAAATGATCTCTAGCCCCATTATTCAGACCATTGATAGTCTAGATAACTTATTGGGACCGTCAGCAGTCCAAATATATTTATTTGAAATATCCTCCTTCACTTTTTTCTTTCTTTCTTTTCGAACAAGGACAAAATCTGTTTCTTGTTATTCAACTCGAATTCATAACTACTCAGACCATTACTGGTTTGGATATTTTAATAACTTTTTTCACTAAAAAAATTTTAATAAGAAATTCAAAATTTTTTTATTAATGTTAAAACCATTATTGGTCTATAATAGTGAACCACCAAAATTT